CTCAGCTTCGCAAATGCGATTAACACAGCGGCACGGTCTTCTGTTCTGGCCACACGCGTGGACCATTCTTAACTAGAGCTTATGAGCTGTCTCATGAATGAGCCGGATGAAACTCGTCGGTCTTTGTGCCCAGCAAAGGACTTACGCGTGAAGATCGGAAGTTTTCAAACGGAACCGATCGAAAGCCATATATCGATGCGTGGCTGATGGTACGGGTAACGAAAGTTCTCAAAGAAGTGCGCTTGATGACAATTAAGGATGGGGGAGATGAGACGTCCAGTGGTGTTTAAGCGGGGCCCGGTATGTGGCCTCGCCCGGTCGGAAACGCGTGCGCACGTGCTCTCGATGACGTGCCTAGCTCGACTTTCCAGCCCTCACGAAAACGTGGCGCGGCCACTTTCCGCCCATCTACCGAGCGGCGCTCTTTCACCACCAACCCTTCCATTCACGTCGTGCGAGCGTATCTTTGACTCGCAATACTCCATCACGCGGTAAACCTGGGCTCAAAGTTATTCACATCGCATTCTCAACCCGCCCGACCTGATCAGAGCGCTGCTCGCCAGGCTTGTCATCTAGCGCGACGTGAACAACATCATAGAAACCCTTTGCCGGAGAACGCATTCGAGGTCTGTGTCTTCAAGCTCATTCAACCTTAACAACAACACCATCCGATTGCGCGCGATGTCAAGCAACGTTCACCTGACGCGAGCGGTATAACGTTGCCGTTGCTCTACGGCTACAAGGATATACGCAGTTTTAGGCCTCTGTCTCATTTCCTTTAGCAGGGTGACATCTCCCCCGCGGGGCCAGCCCCGACAATTCTTGCAGCCCGCCACGTTCCCTACCGCTCTTCGGAAACAAGGCTGCGTTTTAGTCTCTTCATTTGGGTCACGGGGACACGTTTCTGGATGTCTGTGCCCTGCCGAGTTGACGTAGATCGCGTTTGCGACCAGTGAGGATTATTGCCTAACCAGGAACCAGGATGCAGGGTAGTGAATTGAGAGGTGCAGAGTTTCTTGGCGGGTGGTTGACTGTAAAATGAGGCAGACTACTTGTGGCGTCAGCTCCAGGAAGAGTGATCTTACGTCCCTTGAAGAGGAGACTGCGCGCCGTTCCCTGCTCGCAACTGGCGTTCGGCGACCTCGTAACTGAAGCCAACCACATCACAGGACAATATCTCATCCAACGCCGACAATGGCTTCCCAACAAATGTCCGACCGGGTGGAGGGTATGACCACGAACCATACGCTGTCTCACAAAACCTCTCTTGTCGTCATCGTCTTCCTCGCCCTCGCCGTCTCCCATACCCTCGAGGTCTTCGTCAAGATCTTCCGCCTCTTTCGCACCTACCACGGCGTGTACTTTTACACGCTCATCGCAGCCTCGGTCGGTATCGCCATACATGCCTTTGGGTACTTCATCCGCAACTATGGGATATCCGACTCGGCCCCGCTGGAGATCGCCTTGGCGTGTGGTGGGGGTATGCTCATGATCACTGGCCAATCCATCGTACTCTGGTCACGGCTACACCTCATCAGTTCTGGAAAGAGAGATTGGTGGTTGCTATGCATGATCATAGCAGCCTGCATAATCGTGCAAGGAGGGGCGACTGCGCTTTTTGCTGGCTCGAATTCACCGAATCCCAAGAGGTGGCTACAGATTTACGAGAAGTGGGAGATCTTCCAGGTCACCTGGTTCGTCTTCCAAGAGTGCCTCATAAGCGGCCTCTACATCTATCGCACCTTCGCTCTCATGCGCAGCTCGGCCGCCTTCCGAGGTCCACACGCCAAGCGGGTCTTCAACCATCTTATCATCGTCAACACGGTGGTCATCTTGCTCGACGTCACGATCCTGGTCCTACAGTACATAGGCCTGTACGAAATCCAAACGAGCTGGAAGACACTCGCATACGCCATCAAGCTCAAGCTCGAATTCGAGGTCCTCAATCAACTTATCGCATTCGCAACGAGGGGCTTCGATGCGCATGCTGAATCGCACGATATATCCGGAAGCGCGGCCTTGAAGGACGACACAGGAGATCTTACACGGAATTCTCGATTCGGTCACTCGGCGCATCTCCGCATGGACGAGAATGGTACAACAGCGCTACCGATGGGGAATGTAATGAAGAAGACGGATATCCAGATCAGCGTCGAGCCGGATACTCGGAGCGAGAGAAGTGCAAGGGTGCTGTACGGGAGGGATAGCGGGGCGATGTGTTGAACACATGCGGACGGGACGAGGGCAAAAGGCCATTACTTGACGACCATTGACGCCAATACACTACACAACCCGGGGGTGCTGAGCCGCGAGGCTTGTTCCGAGCTTCCCCATACTGCCGAGGATATACTGCATTCCTTTTGTTTTATGACCTTTTTGATACTGGTAGAGGGCTACACTAGACTTAGACGATTTCTTCACGATACCCACTTGCTCTTATATACTCATTTTAATGAACTATACGATTGTCAACACGAGTTAGTCAGGCTGATGCAGCAAGTATTAAAGTAGTGACTGTGGATTTATCTATGTTACTTTTGAGGATGACTGACCGTGGAGAAGGTGGGCAGGTAGTCGCAATACGACGTTATGGGGTTACAATACATCTAGACTGCTATAAACCCCGGTGATCACCCAACGAATGAGCACTACACTTGCAAATTTGCTGGCCGCACGACTCAGTAAAACATGCTTGACACCTACGGTGCGGAGCGCAGCGACGATCGAGCTTGTAAAGGTATCGTGAGATTTCAGACATTCTAAAAAGAGAATTCAGGTCTGCTGCGTGTTTACCCGGATAAGAAACAAGTGTGCGCGATGCGACACCAATATCACAAACCAGTGTCGAAGGCTAGTTCTTCAACCCTGATCCTGACCGAATAATCCATCCACCCATCCATCTTCGGCCCAGTCCGCCTCCCACACTGAGCCTTCCTTCCGAGCTAGAGCCGCGAATGCTCCTGGTGTCTCTTCAACCACACGCACATCGATACCAAGGTCGTTCAGCTGCGCGAAAACGCATGTCGAGACGTCGTCTTCGAACTCCTTAGGTCCAACACCGTAGCCACACCTGCACAAAAGCACGATCTTATTCAGGGCTGGCACCTCCGTCTTGCGCTCGACTATCATGTTGAACCATGTAAGAATAGCCTTGGTAGGACATATTACGGTGAGTGACTCGAGGCTTGGAGGAGGTATAACACCGCTACAGTAGTGCAACTCACCGAACGTATTGCGGGCCTCGAATACAAGTACACCTTGCAGAACCTCCATCTTCGTCAACTTGCGGAACGAGCTGAAGCTGTGCAGGTTCGTACAACCACCGAAACAACGCCTGGGATCGAAGTGATCAGACTCCTCATAGTCGATCTTCATGGATTCCAAGCTTGCAGATACGTCTGTGTCCTCACCCAGAGCACGCGCAATATGCTCGAAAGTACCCAGCCACTGCTTAACAACAGTCGGGCTCCTCATGAAAAGTATCTCTAGACGGGTGATGGACGGTCCAGCGAAGTCTTGCAGCAGAATTGGCAGCTGATAGCCGTGACTTAGATGGGCTTGGTCGTTTAGCTCATTCCAATCGCTTCGTATGATGAGTGTGTCGAGGTTCGCACAGCGGGGTGAAAGGCACCGAGTGGATTTGTTGCCGAAGAAGACATGCTCCGGAGTTGGCAGATCCTCACTGAAGTACTCCCGCGAGAGGTCGATCTCGAGGACTTGGAGGGACATGAATGGGAATCTCAGCATGTCCATGTTCAAACCGGAGACTCTCAGGCGCTTGACGTTGTGGAATTGCTTGAAGCCCGACCAGCGACTTGGCGGTTGCTGCATAAAGTTGCTGTGGAGACCGTAAAGCGAGTGAACGACGTCGAGAGCAGGTATGTCCAGATCGTCCCTGTGATACATGCCCATACAAAGCATGTCAAGATTGTCGCAAAGAGCCAGAAGCAGTCCAGCTAGCGAGCTCAGCCGACCGAGTAAGAGAGTGCACCGCCAATCTATCTCTTCCATACTCTGAAACGGTCCCCCCGACCCGAGAATGCTCAGACTATTGAGGCTCTGAGATATTTGTATCAACAAAGCTCCGAGCTCGTCGCGAGATGTCGCTGGACGTGTTTTGGTAAATATGCTTCCGACTACCACAGTGTCACCATTGATGTCGATACGCCAGCTAGTCGTGGAAAGCGTCAGTTGACGGATCTTGCTTCTCAATTCCGGTCTCTCAACGATGGTGCGCACGAGGTACATGACACTGTCACCTCGAGTACGAGGCAAGCTGATAGTCCGATATAAGAGCTCATCACCGATGGCTTTGAAGCGACGCGATGTCCGATTCAGGTTGCCAAGCGTCGGGTTGTCGCCCTCAAGGTGTTTGGCTATCTCAAGCAGCAGCTCGTCGGGGAGGTCGTTGATGGAGTGGAGGTCAGGTCGAAGGATATTCGGGGGCAGCTCGCTGACCACTTCTCTCAGCTTCTCCTCGATCACTGTCGGCGGAAGATCCATCGCGACAAAAGTCTCGGGCGGGTTCCGTTGGCGATGTCAAATTGCTAAAGCAGTTAGCCAAGGCGTACGATGAACTGACGTGCATGGGGTGACTTACTTCTCTTCGAAGTTACGCCAGGATGGCGGGTAACAAAGGCTTGTGACGACAGTTGGAAGGTTCGCGGTAAACTTTCCAGCTTTATCAAGTTGGTGTATTCATTGACAACCTAGGCAACCAATGAGCGTGCTGCAAACGCCGGTGTCAGGCACGTGATACGGCGGCGACACACCGCCCGCGTCCGCTTGTAGCACGTCAACCTAGGGAAAAAGTGAACACCCTGGGGTCTACATCGACGTTAACACACCCACTTTGCATGTACACATGTTAGTGTAGTCTGCAGACCTGTTCAGCTTTTCCCTCGTATGAGGTGGTAGCGCAACGTATTCCATGCTCATCTTTTGATGTCGCGTCCAATCTGAAATGACTTGGCCGTTTTGTTCCCAATGTGACTAGGTACCTAGAACCGGGGTATATAGGGCTCGTCTGAAACTTCAATCTCAGTAGACGGGTACAAGTATGGACCTAGATCTTCTGGAATCCAGACGCATCTCCCGTTTACCCTCTCGCAATGTCCTCTCCAGTTCCATCTAACGAGGTGGTGCTTAATGACGCGCCATTTCACTGCAGCCCAGAGATCTTTGTCGTACTCATCACCCCAGACTCGCTTGTTGTCGAGCCTGTTATGGATGCGCAGAACCTCGTCGAGATCAACGTCTCTGATGTGTTGGCCTCTGCAGTAGTTCTGATACCATGGCATGCGATAATTAGGAGCATTGGGATGATCTCGAAGAAGCTTTCTCAGCTTCATACGCTCATTATACACCAGCGCGTCGGCTACATCGTCTTTGCCGCGATTGTCAAAGATCCTTGTGCCGTCTTCCCTGCAGGGATTTCTGGGGTCGAAGTCTTTGGGATTTTGCTTGGTTCCTATCCCTTGGTCCTTGGTCCATTGGTCGTATGGTACAGGTAGATAGTCGTCATCGATCTCGTCGAAGCTTTTTCCAACGTGCTTTCCATAGGTGAAGACCCACTTTGAGCCTGGCATTTCTGGCTCTCTATCGAGGAAGTGAAATTTGAGAGCTATCCGGGTGTAAGTGTGTTTGTGCCCACCGGTGGCGTAGATCCAGGAATTGATCCATGAAATCGGTGCTTCACCAAGTTTGCAACCGTTGTAATAGCCGCCAAATTCACTATCGATCTTGTAGATGTTATTCGCCCAATGAATGAGAGCCTCACGTAGACCAGGTTTTGAGTTCACCAAGGCATCGTCGTCTGCTATTCTTGCTAAGTCTTCGTCGGAGAGGTCCTCAAGGGTGCGGCCTTTGTGTTCTCCGAAATCGAGCTGATAGACCTCAACTTTCACGCGCTTGTTGTCCGGCGACAGTGAATCTTGTCTTGAGAGGAGGTCCGGAGTCTCCTCGCGCTCCCTCTTGAACGACATGGTGGATGGCTGGCTGCAGTCGCTTCTTGACAAAAATCGAGCGTTCCACGTTGCCAGTTGCAGTACGTCAGTAGGAGATACTATGCGTTGCAACCCTTCCAGCACATGTGGTATTAAGGAACGAGTTGTAAGATATAATAACCCAATAGAGCAATGAATGGGACGTTGGATGAAGTGGAAAAAGAGGTTTCGGCTCAAAGTAGACGAGATGGACAGAAGCGGGGTGTATGCGCAGACCCCCGAAGCTATCCCTTCCAACAGCCTTCATCGCTGGGCATTGTCCAGCAGCTTCCATCGTCTTATCTTCAGCCTATCACGGACGTCCTGCTCCGCATCCCTAACGTTCCTTCTGCGGCGTCAGAGAGTTTGCGATCATTGCTGCCGTTTTGCCGGCGTTTCGTCCCCTTGTGACGTCAGACCCGTCCGCGCCGGCGCCGTTCCAACCACGCGCGTTTCGTGCCTTGCATCGATGGATACCACTAGGCCCGGCTCGATCCATCGCGCGGTGAGTGAGCCCAGCTGTCGCAGCATTGCAGTCACGAATATTCAACTATAGAGCTGCAACAGAGGAACTGAGAATGTAACCGGCAGCTTCCTGTCGCTCGCTACTGCAGGGGTCAATGTATCGTATGATTCGATGAAGTACCGAGGTACATCGCCCCGGGCCTTCTCGACGCATCGCACCTCCTCCATTTCGCGGCTCCGCCACGCGCACACTACACGCAGCAACGACGCCATGCGGTCCTCATCCTTCACATCTTTGCCTGTATGAGATGCGCTATGCCTACTTATCATTTTGCGTGAGAATTTTCCGTGTACGATTGCGCGTCCACTGAAATTACACGCGTCGTATGCGACAAACCCTTTGGTACAGGCGTTCAGGACACGGCGGCATTAGCTTCGTCAATGTTTTGGATAAATTTCGCATCAATTTCATCCTATGACAAGCCATCCATCGCACGATAACATTGCGGGACCAGCAAACCTTCCATTCGATCGTCTCTGAGCTGCCTCTCATACCACCCACCTCACAACAGATCTATCGCTCGCATCTCATGAACAGCTCCATCAAATCTCATCGAGACCTCGCCTCAGTGAAATGCTGTATGCAGGAATGTCTGTTGCCCCGTTCGCAATCGCGACCTCGCGGATCATGGTGTATAGCATCTTGGTCTTGGGCCAGCGCGCCCGAGGCGGCATTGTGGCTCCCCTGCTCATGAGCAATTCCAGTAACTCCTTGCTGTTTCGGTTGAGAGCAACTTCCATCGGCGAAACCGTCTTTGTGGACCTCTGATATCTAGGAAAGGCGCCATTAACATCTGCACCTGCATCCAGAACCGCGGCGACGATCGGGATGTCGCTGACCTTGATGGCGCAGCAGAGGAAGTTGGTGAAAAGGGTTCCGTCGTTGATTTCCAACTCTTCGTCGTCCAGAAGCAAGTTGACCATGTCAACATTACCGGTACGACATGCAATTGTGAAGAGGCGATTATTGACCAGGCTGCCTGATGGATTCAGGCGCAGGATAGACTCTACTACGTCTGTGTTTCCGTGCTCGATGCCCATCTCGAGCCACCCGTTGTACGTGCGCTTCTCAACCCTGCGAAAGATTGTCTGGCGGAACTTGACAAGCTCATCCACGAAGCGTGTATTGCCAGCCCGGATAGCGGAGCAAATTGCTTCTCCAAAGTTGTAGTCGTAAGAACCTAGAGTATCACGTTTGACCGACTTCTTGAGGTTAATCAGGTGGTGTAAGACTGCATCGAAAAGCTCGTCGTGTTTCGAAGTCACAGCCATCACCAGAGGGCCTTCGCCGAAGGTCGTGTAAGGAGACCAAATCGCGGGAGGCATTTGCGCTAGCAGAGGGCGAATCAAGTCAATCGCCTGAGTCGACATAGCCGCTACGATCTTCTCCCAGTGGTGAATGTCGGCGCCGTTTTCTGGATTGTTCCTCAACTGAATGGCTGGGTGGCGGTAGGAACGCCTCCAATTCATCATCATATACATTACTTCGTCAGGACCAGTGACTCGGACAAGACCTTCAACCATGCGGGTCTCAGTCTCCTTCCGCTGTCCTTTCGGGACTGAGAGTTCCGAAACCAAATAGCCAATCATTCGGTGGATCGTATTGAGTAGCCGGTTGTCGACATCGGCGGGCTTGTTCAGATGGGCAAGTATATACGTTGTGATGTTGGCAGTGATGACTCCCGGGATCAATCCAACGATATGCTTGGGCTGATTGCTGAGCAGGTCATGCTTGATTTCGCCAGCGAAAGTGTGACAAACGCTTCGAAGTTTCCAAGTGGCCCTGGGGCTATCAGAGTTGAGCGAGTGGATAATGTTTTGGAATATCTCCGTGGGTAGATCCAGAAGTTGCGCCATGTTGAGTTGTTCTTGCGCTCGGTTGATGTCGTATACGGCGACTGGGTCGTTGGAAGATGGAGAGTTATATGTGGAGGAGCTAGTGGCTGGGGGGTGCTTTGTCAAATACGCTAAACAGCGCGCTAGTGCCATATTAAGGTGTTCGTGTGAAAGGCCTTCGCCCCGCCTAGGGTAGGCCTAAGCGCTGAAGAGTTTGGTCACATTCACTGCCACCATCACGAGAAGTGGCTCGAATTCGTGCCCCATAGGTAGGGTTTGCTGCATACATGATATCAGATCTTAACAATTAAACAGCTTCCAAGAAAGCGTATCCTTCTACTAGGCATGCCAGGTGTCAGGATATGGGAACGATGGTCTGTACCGTGGTGGAAATGAAACGAAATAGCTCTTGGGGTAATTCTGTGCTAGGCCTTCAGCGATGATGGTAGGTGTATAGCTCTCGTTACATCAAGCCTTACCAACTAGATACGCTTGCACCATATGTACTCGCATAGCCTGCCCATCTGCAACTTAAAGGACCAAAGTATACTCCTAGCACCTTGGCCCAACGCATACCATCACCATACTTGCCGTCCACCAGTAACAAGATTTCCTGCTTTCCATGCTGCAGTTATCAGTAGCCGTGTATTTCCCCACAGATGCAACAGAGATTTGAAGGCAGCAAGGTCTCTTTAATGCTTTTGCTTCGTCGATTGCTTCTGGGAGACTGCCGCATTCTGAAGGACGGCTTGCATCTTCTTTGAGAGGTGCCAAGTATAGGTAGCAGGAACGCTGGCTCCGCATTTGATCAAGTAGTACACCGCGTCGAAGTGGTTCAGATAAATAGCATACTCCAGTGGTGTAATGGCATCGCAATGCTTCAGACGATGGGTTGTTATAACCAAATTAATGTCTGCACCAGCTTCGACGACTGCGCGAATTACCGCAACAACACCAGCTCTTATGGAAGCCGCCAGGGCTGACATCTGGGCGCTACTAGAGTCTAGCTGAATGCTTCCGTAGTTGATGAGAGTGGTAACGATAGCTGAGTCTCCGGTCTTAACGCCCCGTTCGAAGATAGTAGTGTTGATATGGAAGGGCTTGGTGTCGGGTGCGGCTTGGAGAAGAGTTCTGAGGACGTTGTTGCTTCGTGAGAGAATAGCACGATCAATCCACTGACGATAATAGGTTTTGTCGGGAAGAGTCAGGTAGCGACGAAGGTAGCCAAGCAGTAGCTTTACCATGTCGACGTTGTCATCTACGATAGCTGGTTGCATGGAGCCAAGCATACTGTATGGAGAACCGACATTCATTACCTGACTCCTTTTGAACCTCTTGGACTTTTGTTCGTCCAGGACTGTCATCATTAGAGTGATCATCTTGTGATCATCTTGTAGAACAGCAGCTAGCATTGGCTCTTCAAACACATCCCGCGAGAGTGAGGTAGGAGCTTGGCGTAGTAGTCTTGCGACTACGTCGTAAGCACCTACACTTATCGCCGCGATGAGCTGGTCATGATAGGTGATATCCTTGCTCAGCGGTTGGCGCAGTTTCTTGTATCTTTTCTCGCTCACGAGCGAGGTTGAGTCATTCAGCCAGAGAAAGGTAGTAAGAAACGGACATGTCTGCGCAACGCCTGCACAAACCTCCAGGAGAATGTTACGGCCGTCGAGATTGTCTGTTGCGGTGAGCTCCTTGGTGACATACTCCACCATTTTCTGTATCTTGGCGGGAAGCTCCGGTAAGACATCGCGTGGACTCTTGACGTGATATGCGAGGTAGTGCTTCATGTTGTCTTTGCGGGTGAGTAGGGACAAGGCATAGTAGCCGCGAAACGCCTGTCTAGGTTGTACGGCTAGAATGTTTGCGCTGATCTCCTGATCAAAGGTTCCTATGAAATTATCAGCCCTGAGCATTTGCGCGACCACGGGAATGAGAGTCTTACGGCATACGCTTCGCAGTTTCCAAGCACATAGGATACCAAAATCACTGACCAGGCAGTTGATGATGTGCCTGAAGATCTCAGGCGGGAAGTCGAGCAAGTCCATCGCTGTGACTGAAGTCGTAACTCCAAGCTCGTCACTTCTCGAATCTGTCTTATGTTAGTACATATTGCAATCAAGCCGACGGGGATTATTTACGTAGGGCTTTCAGTCCTTGCAATCGCGACACAGTGTGGTGGAGGAAGGAAGGAAGCAGAGTGGGCTGCCTCAACAGGGAAAGGGCCTGTGTGCCAAGCTTTCCTGGTCCAGGCAGAGGTAAAGGTAGTCGCAACCGTCGATCACCTCGACTTATGTATAGCCCTGGCAACTGCAATTCGAGGCGAGCGCGACTTTGATGACGAAATAGGCCGTCATAGGTACCAGGCAGCCATGATTTTGAGCAGAAAATAATGACTTCTAAGATAGGTACAGTACGAACCCCAGCGCCCGCAGATCCCATAAGTAAAATAGTAAAAGAACGTGTCCAAAGGGAGCTGCCCGCCGTCATCGCAAATGATCTAGTATGGTCGTCCAATCGTATGGGCTAGATGATGGCTCCAACCTTGTGCTGCGCCTGATATTTCTCGATATCTTCCTCGCTCATTCTCTTGAAGCGCTTATACTTTAGGACATGTTTGCCTCCATCTTGGCTGATCTTTGCTTGTCGCAGCACCTCGTACGTAGCCTCATGCATTGGCCAGCCCTTCATGTTGGGCAGACGTGCGCCTGCATCGATCAGACGCTGAGTTATGATCGGATTCTTCTTGAATATCGCGAGTTCAATCGGAAGCATGTCTTGACGGTTGAACTTCGACTTAGTGTTCACGCTGGCTCCAGCTTTCAAAAGTAACTCGACGATCTCGATACAGTCCGAGCGAACGCCCTCAATCATAGCAGAAGCTGTTGTTTTCGTCTGCAAGGGATCGATGTAGCCTCTATCGAAGAACAACTCGACGATGTCCTCACGTCCATGCGTACATGCGATAGAGTACTGAGCGAAGGTGATGCGGGCTGCGGACCGGTTCCTATCGCATGATGTGTATGCTGTGTCCAACACGTACTGAAAGACGATCAGAGTCGACTCGCGGATGGCTTGCTCGAGCAAAAGGTTGTACATAGCCTTTGAGAAAGTGAGCCCTTCTTCTTTATACCAGGTAACAAGAATGGTAAGTATCTCCAAGTCGGAACGTTCGAGAACACGAAATATCACCTCCATGAGACGAAATCCGTTCTTCTTCTTATACCGCCAACGAAACGGATGTGCCTTCAGAAGCTCTTGCACTTCTTCCGTTTGTTTTGGGTCCTTCAGAGCAGTGCCAAGATGATGTAGCATAGCTTTGAGAACGGGAATCTGTCGATCTGTGCTCGCTCGCTCAAGTGGACTTCCGAAAACAGGATGAGGGTCGTAGTTGCTGAGTGATTTCATCACAGTTCCAACAAGATCATGATGTCCAAGGCTTGACGCAGCTATAAGCTTGTCCATTTCTCCAAATGGTATGTGAGAGAGGAAATCCCCGTAGTATGCATGTTCATCAATCAGAGCACAAAAGACCGTGCTAGCCGAGGTGGGGTGACCTAGTTTATCGCAGAGATCCCGCCTTAATACTTCTTTCTCACTCTTCTTGGTGATTTCTAGCTCTTCTGCAAGGTAATCGACCATGTCATTGATTCTGTCGGGTAGATAAGGCTGGGCCTCCAGAGGATCCTTGCTGCGGTAGTAGAGATAGAGACCAAGATTCCGAGAAAAGATCGTGTGTAGTGAACGCCAAGGACGGAAGGCTTCGATGGACTGTTTTGCGAAGATGTCGAACGTTATAGCTGCCTTGAATGTGCCTTTACTCGGTCAGCTTGCGCTCGGAATATGAGACCTCACCACCGTTGTACTCACGACAGACCCCACGGAGCTTCCAGGCTTTGCCGATACCAGCGATAGAAACCAGCTCGTGGGCGACATTCTCAAACACTTCCGGTGGGAAATCTAAGAGCGGCATTGTAGCAGACGGTATCGACGATAAATCTTTGGTGCTTCTAGCCTGCGAGGTGCTGACGTTAGCTTCTTATAAGAGATTAAGGCCGCTGTGGTACCTTTGTAGTCTGTATACTTGCTTTTGCGCGCTTCATGGTGATATCCCCGCGTTAAGATCGCCTCAGTGAACAAGTCGGGGAAATGAGGATGAAGAGAAAGTTGGAAGAGGAGTACAGTAGTTGCCGTGCTAGATATACTGCTCTAGTCTGGCGCTAGCGTAGTGGTTGTACTCTTGGTAAGAGAGTCGTCTCGGTGGGTAGCAAGGTACCCAGGTAAAGGTAGCAGTGATATATACACGTCCCGTACAGCTGTCCGGGTAAGCCCAAGTAGCCAGTGAACTGGCAGGTGATGTGCAATGGTCAGTCCTGCACCTCGTCCTCCATGTACTCCTGCAGCAGGTCCTTGCGGCCGGCGTACGGCGACGGCTCGACATACGTGCCCTGGAAATGTGCCATCCAATTCTCTCCTACTCGCGCCGGCGTGCTTTCCCGGTCGACTGGGATTGCCGTGTTGCTATCACAGACGCTCAAGTCGCCTATGTCGAAACGAACATTTCCCTCGCCTTGTTGTATCCCTCGCATAACGCGTGTGAACGATTCAGAAAAGAAACAGCAACTGTCCAGGAGGCTAAGCGGGCTTATGGGACGTGGAGCGAGCGATTCGAGTGTTCTTTGCCACCTGGCATCTTCGAGCATTTGCTCAAGGAGAGCGAGCGTGCTTGCAGTGTTTCTGGAGTGGAAGATCAAAGACAAGCGATCGGGAGACAATCTCGATGAAAGAGCCACGGCTTCCTCAAACCACCGCATGAAGGCCTGAGATACGCGCACTCGTTCTATCTCTCCGTCGATGTCCCAGACTTGACCATCGTGGTATTGATCTACGAGTTGCTCGAAATAGGGCTGACCGATCTTACTCGTGATGGCCATAGTCTTTGTATCCACTTGGCGACGAATACTGATGCGGGGATACTGTTGCAAAATGCTGACCAGACCCAGGCCATGGCACTCCGAATATGCTATGCTGGCGTGGGCTTCATCGAGTACAATCTTGCGAACAGCGGATAGAACGCTCGGGTCTAGACCGTTGAGAAATTGTATGGCAAGCGCAGCTGCGGAGAAGTAGCGCTTAATGGGACCGTCCTCATATATGGGGCTATCACTCTTTGATGAACTCGAGGAGATGCATTGTTCTTTCAGCGAGGCGATTTCTGCTGGGTTGGGTATCATCCAAGGGTCAGGGGTCCCAGCGAGCAGTGATGCTACATTTGGCTGTTCAGGCCGCTGCCCAAGGACTTGATCATCTTTCCAAAACTCCCACCACCTTCTTGTCCCCTTTCCCCGGGACAGCATGAACTTGACGAATCCACGATGAGTGGAAGGTGGATGACGCCAAAGTCTCCAGTCAACCACCATTTGCAGGGGGGTCGGTGCAATCGTTTCATGACCTCCGCGAAGGCGGTGAAGCAGCGAGAGACATTGGGGAAAGTCGACTCCGGCATGCTCAATCATATCTTCGGTGATGGCTTTACGAACCTTGTAGAGTTGGTAGGCGGTCTTTATATGAATCCATTTGAGAGCGATTGCAAAGGACGCGGCTCTATCGCTCGTCTCACGGTCGACCCAGCCCGTCCGAAAAGTGACGGTATTCTTTTCAAAGATGACGGGTCTTAACTCGTGGGCTACTTGACTGCAGGTTTGCATGAATGAGAGATCGATCGGGTCGCCGTTGGCTGTGCGTAGCCTGCGCGTGCGCTGATTATAGAGATAGCCGCCATCCTGGGCAGCATAGTGGGTATAAATCTCATCCCGTAACTCTCGAGGCAGATCGAAAAACCCCATCATGGCAATGTTGTAAGTGGTGATGGGTTGCGGGATAGGTTGATTGTTCTGATGAGATGGGTGAGTGATGATGGATAACTAACGAAGGAGCGAACCATGGACCCCACACATTTCGCCAAGAGGAACCGGCAGGGAGAGCGCTCGACCATGAGCCGCGATGAACGAAGTGAGACTAGCGACACCGCTGTGCCAAACAAGACCGATGCATAGAGCACTGCGTTGTCTCTGTGGCAATGCGTGCAAGTGCAAAATGCACGAAGATTGACCGAGACAGTGTCGGTTGAACAATTGATTCGCATGCCAACACACCTCAACCGGCATGACGTCTCTAGTGTATCGTAGATAGCCCAAACGCCGTAACAATGCAGCCTGTATAAGGATAGAGACCCATGTACACCATATGATACATTCCGTCATTGTAAACCATCCGTCTCTTCTGTACACCCGCTCATGATGCCATCACCTGAAGTTGGCTGTTCCTGGCACGTCCTTGATCTCCTCAAACTTGGTGCCCATCTTCACGACGCTGTATCTTATCAACCGAGGGTCCAAGCTCATGGTTCGCCGTAAAGCGTGCTGTGCGCGGGCGCTCGCATCGAAGCGCATAATGAAGTGGTGGCCGTAGTGGTGTGTGGTTTGCAGCTTCTTCGCTGGCTTGGGGAGGAGGAAGGTGCCCCAGTTGGAGACGCCGCGGACTACGCCCTGTTGATCGAGGACAATCTTTCCGGCGGTTTTGGCGATTCTGGAGCATATCGGGTCAGCGTTTGGCTGGGGGTGTTGGAGGGCGAATTTACTCTTTAACTTCAGAGAGGCGGCCGGGCCGTACCTGCACCTGTTAGCATGTACTCTTGTGATCAATGCGACGCTCCTCCTACCACTCCGATCATCTCGTACAGCATCTTGCCTCGTTTGCGCCGTGGTGTTGCTGCCGTGGTGCCTTCCGTCGCGAAAAGTGTTCGAATGCGGCCAACCTTTCCGTAATCGCGGAGGAGCTCCACCAATGTCTTGGCGCGTGTTATCACCTCTCCAGCGCCCGCAACTTGAAGCTTCACACCCACACACATTCTGCTACAATGGCTGCCCGGACTTCAATCGCACGCGCTGCGCGCCAATTTACCTCCGTCGCCGCGAAGAGGCCATCACCATTCGTCTGCCAGAGGTGGCAGCAGGCGACTCAGAAGCCACGGTTATTCTCGGTATCTGCCGCACGTACGCACATCTGAAGCTCTGAGAAGCAATTGAGAGGCGGGCATGGGTGCTGACTGAGCGCAGTGAAGGAGAAGAAGTATACCGAGGACCATGAGTGGATTGAGATGTCTGCAGACGGCAAGACATGTATGCGCACCCTCCCCCACATCCCCACATCCCCATACGCCCTTACTGTCCAAGCGTTCTGTGACTGACACATCGCGTAGGCACCCTAGGCATCTCCGAATATGCTGCAAAGGCCCTCGGCGACGTCGTCTACATCGAGCTCCCCCAGATCGAAATGGATGTTAGCGAAGGCGACGCCATTGGCGCTGTCGAGTCAGTCAAGTCTGCCTCAGACATCCTCACACCCATCTCTGGCACCGTCGCGGAAGTCAACTCAGCGCTGGAGCAGACTCCAGGCAATGTCAACAAGGACCCCGAGGGCGAGGCGTGGATCGCCAAGATCACCGTGTCTGGAGAGCCAAGCGGCAAGACCATGACCAAGGAGGAGTACGCCGAATTTACTGAAGAGTAGATGTGCGGGAAGCAGTTTGGGGGAGGGATGGATGCATGGGATACAGGCACCTAGGCGCACACTTCAACATGAAATGCGAGACTTCAGTCAAAATCTCACTTTGCGCGTACCAGCCATCGAAATCGTCGTACTTGCGAGGGAGACTACAGAGAATTGACAGCAAACAGGCTCGCATTAACATCCCAGGAATTTCGTATATTTCTACTCCAAACGATCATCCTCTTCCTATGCTGTTTCCGACTCCCCAATCCTGTCCACAGCTTCAGTCACCATCTGCGAAACCTCCAAATACAGATCACGAAACGCTTCCTCTTTCCCTATACCCCTGCCCTCAAGTACAATCTTATCATCAACGACAAGATACATGACGTATGTGCTGTCGCGCGCAGGGCGACTACCCATCTTCCGCACACGAAAATACACGTCCGATCTGATATCCAGCTGAGGGAAGTAGCCTTGCTTATATAGCCAGGCCATATTCGCTACTCAAGAGGTCAGTAAACATACACAATATTTGAATACGGCCGATCAAGCGAAAAGCGAGGGAATTGAATGCGCGGGTCATGGTAAGGAGGGAAATACTCACTGGTCAAGCTAACATCGGACTTGGAGACCCGAAGCAAGAGCTCGTTGAATCCAATGGAGATGTCTTGTAGCGACAGATATTTGCGATCTGTATCTTGTTAGTTGATTTCGCTCTCATTAAAGTGGAGTTGGAACCAACGTACCGTGGGCATGCCATAGCCTAGTATCTTCGCGCTCTGCGACTTCCTCCGCTGACTCGGTTGAAGCAGATGGCGACTTCAGTGGGCTTTTCATGGATTCCGAGGGTTTCTCTTCTTTTCCAATACCCATGGAGAGGGCGACGTATCCCAGCATGGTCGTGGGAGGGAGCATACACAAGACGCATATCGTAGTTAAAATCATAGCTTGGTGTTGTAGATTGATGCACCAGAAGGCTTGTTGGTTTCAAAAAAGCGAGGGCTGATGGTGAGTGCACACTTCGCTTATATATAACATCCAGCGCTTGATGTCTGGCTGTCGCTATGCGAACCTTGGGAGAGATGTTCAGGAAGCGAGAGTAGCCAGGTTATGTCTTCCACGCCCCAGAGACGACGGGCCAACCACACCTTCCGCAATTCATACGACCCATGAACAATTATATGGTCTCGAATGATAAGCATGGGAACTCTACAAACTTCTTCCCAGTGTCCCAAGGTTCACGTATCTCAGTCACATTACGCTTCTAACCCTTCGAAAAAAGCATCTAAAAACACCCGCCCGCACCAACACCTCGATAATCCAGCTAAAAATCTGCAAGTCGCACCGCCGCACACGTTCCTGAGGCTCAAAGCTGATCCCGAAATCTCATCAAAACTCCAACATGACGAACGGCAAAGCCATAACACCCGGCGAAAGCGCCCTCACTACAGGCCCAACTGCAGATCCCAATCGACCATCATCTCCAAGGTCCTTGGTATCAGAATTGAGAGTGCTGCTGGGAGTGATAGATTCCCGCCCGAAGCCCACTTTCGCACAATCGCAAGTCGCAGTCGAACTCAAATCGGCATTCTCACGTTATTTTATCATCTACGACGACGACGATGATGATGACGAAGATGATGGTGATGTGTGGCTGGAAAAGAGCATAGGTGCGCAAACTCCCGCCCCATTCCGACTCACATCCCGCTATGCCGTGGCACTGTGTACTTCCCTCAACACGACCAGCTAACACGAAAGCCAGAGAACCTATCTTTTCTCGCCGTAAACAATCGCTTCCCTCCCAGCCTTTCGCTGAAGGACTATGCAAAGATCGACGTGTTGACCTCTCTGCGGGGTCATGATCAGTATGCCATGCTCCTAGTGCACGAGAATAAGGTGTTGGTCGAAGGACAAGCTGGCGAACATGGGAAAATGGCCAAGGGCTTGTTCAAGTCCATTGCGATGGAAGTTGGGAGGATTATTAAGGAGAGGAAAGAGATGGGCGAGAGATGGGTCGGCCCGTGAGAGAACAAGGGGGTTTGTAGAGAGGACTGAGATGTTGGTGTTGGATATAGTGTGCATTGAAGACTTATAGCTATATACATACCAAACCACCAGTTGGATTTCATCCTCCGCCGTCCACATATCCCTTCCTTACACCTCACATGTTCTACCAACAATCTATCCAGTCCACACATTGGGTCCAGGGCAAGTATACGTAGTAGCCTTGCTACCATATGTATCAACCATAATTCCTGGGTCACTCTGCGCCGCGTATCCGGGAATGTTCGCAAGGAAATCACCACTCGGCGAAGCACTGCCAGAACCCGTGACTTCAATTTGTGCGCACTCAGCATAGAACTGAGGTGAGTTGGCCTGGTGAAGAGCAAGAAGCTCGTGGCGAACGAGGTAGTTGCCCGGTGCGAGGGACGCGGGGACCTTGGACTCCCAGTACAGGTTCTTGAGGACCTTGGCGGTGCCCCAGCTGCGGCCCGAGAGGGGAGGTGCGGTCATGCCTTCTTGGTCGATCTAGCCAGCGTCGTTAGTAGGAGACTTGTGAATATCAGACTCGATAAGATGTGTACCTTGAACCACTTCTTTCCAGAACCGTCACAGCTCTTAAAGTCGCCAGAGCACTTATACATCCACACCATGACGGGGCCTTGCTCGTGGGTCCATTGCTTCCAGTTTGCGCGGATCTTCCCGCCGGCTGCTACCTTGGCGGAGAGATCGGCTGAGGTGCCGCCGTTGCACATAACCTTCTTGTCGTTGACGCTCATGGTGGGGTTGTAGTCAGACCATTGGCGTTGGATGGTCTTGGGTGAGGAGGAAGGCGAGAAGCCTTCGTATCTGAGGTGAAGGTTAGGTACTAGTCTTGGTGGTAGTGCTGAAGTTGAGGGATGGCTTACCCTGGATATGTCACTCCGTCGATGACATAGCTGGTAACGGCGCCGTGGGCTGCGGCTTGGGCTGCGAGGAGCGCTGTGGGTAAGAAGACGTTTGAGAACAGCATATTGAAGGCAAAAAAACGTATGTTTCGAGGTGAGATATGATCTCCATCCCGTCTGCACCCCAGCCTTATATACTCGCGTCGTTGCAGCATCGCCCTACCTCTACGCCCACCTCCACCGTCCAATATCCCTCATGATCACATTACTACAGCCCACCACTCACCTCTTCCTGACAAGTCTTGTCGCGCCCACTTCACATAAACGCGATAGTACTACCTCAATATCCACGTAATATACAAAGATGCTGTGCCCGGACCGGTTAAACACCATTGGCTGCACAACACTATACGTGCTTCGCTAGCGAGCGAGCCTCCATGTCGGCTCTTGGGTCCCGAGCCAGATCGAGAAGATGATGGGACCGCGAGCGGTACCCCGGATGTTTAATTTGCACGCGAAGGTGGGGATGTACGGCGTGATGAGGCACAAGGTGAATGGCGCATGTTTTGTCGTGTAAGCGACGATGTTCTGGAATATGCAGAAGCAAGCCACATGGGAAGCGGAAGAGGCGTCGGTGGCAGTGGAGAGAAGTTTTAATAGGGATGTCGCTTCAGGTGCTCGCTGCGAATGAGTGCAGCGACGAATGATCTAAGCACCCAGCCAGTACTCGTACAATGGCGTATTGGCTTTGTTTGTAAGAAATTTTTGTCGGGTGAGCCTTACACTATAAGAATACACGTTACACACGCTCTAAACGCTTTATCTATAATACAAATATTTATATATTCTATTATCTATTATCTATCTAATATTATATTCTTAGTACTATTCTTTAAGTAGCTTTATATATTTATCTATATTAGTACTTATATATTATATAAAGTAAGTATATAGTTTATTCTTATTTATTATTTAACGTTACTAAAAAAAAATACTTAATATATAAAAGCTAACTCTTTTAGAGTAAGCTAGTATATAAAGAGTATTATTTTTATTAGTAGCTTATATACTATTACTTACTTATTTTAGATAAAGGCTTAAACTACTAGTATAAGTTCTAAAACATTAGTAGAACTTATATAAAATATAGTAAGTACTTACTTTATTAAGTATTTATATAGTAAGTATATATCTTTAAGTTATATAAAAGCTTTATATTTAGCTTTTAGTAAAGGTAATACTAAAGAGCTTATAAAATAGCTAATTACTTAAAAGTAGTATTTTTAGCTAAAAAAGTAGTAGTAATAATATTAAAGAAAATAGTAAAAGTAATTATAGCTATAGTTAGATTATTTAAGTTTTAAATAAAAAAAGTAATAAACTAGAAAGTAAAATATACTATCTTATATATTATATATAAGAGAAGAAGTAAAGTTATAAAGATAAAGCTTTTATACTCTTCTTTAACTTATATAGTATATATAAAAATTTTAAACTTTAGTTTTATTTTATTCTATTTTATAGTACTATAATAACTTATTAATAATAAGCTACTTATAACTTTTATAATATATATAAAATATATAATAACTAAATCTATCTATTAAATATAGAAGAGATGCGAAAGAGGTTACACTATAAGATAAGAAGCATCTTCCTAGTTACCTTAGATGGCGAGGTTGATGTTGGCTGCGCAATCGTGCTAAGGACCGGCACCTGCCTGAGGTGTGAATGCCACGTGCAGGATGCGTCTGGGTGCACTTCGTAACAGCGAGGCGTGGTTGAATGCGACCTGCCATCTGTGGAGTACCTAGCAAGGACCCCCGATGACATCATGGAAGCGATGTTAAAAGTGATGGAAGTCATGAAAGAGCACTGCAGGTGTCAGCACAAGCACCAGGCGGAGGCGCTAGCCTTCACGCTAGCTGGGCGCACCTGCTAACGGGCCTTTCTTAGCACTCCGCGAGTTTCATCAACTCCACATGACACAGAGAGTGCAAAGAGCAAGATCATAAAGTGGGAATTCATTGCGAAAACGACTGTGACCCAAGGCGTGGTCTGGTATCTCTCACCCTGTCCAAATTTTGCAAGGAAAAACATAAGCACCTCCAGCGTACTAACAACAGATGATCTAAAAGTTCTTCGACGCTTCAACCCCCTTTCCGTCTGCTCCGTGCATGATTTCTTCATCGTAACGATCAGCATCGCTATCGGTGTAGGCGACACTGATGTCCGTGATCTCGTCGCCGACTTCCATCCAGACGTCGCTGGTCGCCGGGATAGGGCTGATCTTGCACAGCGCCCAGTATGTAATGCTTGCGACCAAGAAGCCAGCAAAGAAGTTGAGGTCATAGATGCGCTTCGCACCAATGGGTACGTCGCGACCGATAGCTCCTGCAAACCCGACGACGTTGATGAGGATACCAGCAATGTAAGCTGCGTAGCCGCGCCAGTGGAATCCAAGGGTGTAGTAGTAAGGACCAGTCTTCTTTCCAGAGTATAGGTCCTTGATCTGGAGGTAGCCTTTTCGGACGATGTAGTAGTCACAGATCATGACACCCGCAATGGAGGAAAGGAAGACGGAGTAGGCAGAGAGGTAGGTTGTGAAGTTGTTGGTGTCGGAGAGGAGGTTCCATGGGCACATGACGAGGCCGACGAGCGCACAGATGTATCCACCACGTCTGATACTGATCCATCGGGGTGCAAGTGCTGTCATGTCAGTTCCGGCACTGATGGAGTTCGCTGCGATGTTGGTTCCGAGTTGGGCGAGCGCGAAGGCTGCGGCGATGCAGAAGACACCGAAACGTTGCGCTGAGCCCCCCTCATCCAGGAAAGACTCGAGCAACTTCAAAGGATCCCAGATAGCCTCGCCGAAAATCACAGTGGACGACGATGAGACGATGATACCGATGAACGAGGTGATGGCAAATCCAATGGGGATAGTGAGCAGTTGCGGAAGGAAGGCGTTCGATGGCTTCTTCGCAAAACGGGCGAAATCAGGGTCATTGACGATCAAGGTAGCGAAGTTCGCAATGGCACTCATGATTCCGCGGACCATCATCCAACCAAGCGCAGATCCGCTGAGTGTACCTTGTTGGTGAACAATCGGGCCCAATCCCTTCGCACGAACGACGGCCCAGATGAAGAAGGCGACGCCAGCAGTCGGAACAACATAGGCCTTTACGGTAAACAGGTGGCGGATCTTGTGTACTGGCGGGTAGATGAAGGGTAGCGATCCAGCCCAAAACAGGAAGAAGGACACAAAGGCGACGGTGGTCGTGCCGGAGCTGGGGATGCCGTTGGTGATGCCACCTGTACCGGGGCCCTCAGAGTCTCTCCAGTTGTTCCAGATGGCGCGAATCATGAGGCGAACACAAGTACCGCCAATCCATGCTTGTACGCCGTACCAGATACTGGCCATGGCTGCACGGTTGAAAACGGGCCATAATGCTCCCCAGATACCGAAAGATGAACGGTTGACAACGGGGAAAGAGATGTGGTATGTTGCGCCGATACGGCCAGTCATGCAGACAAAGCAGGCAGCGATGGAGTAGCCAAGCTATCAGTCAAATCAGCGAATGCCGGTCTAGTTGATATCGATTTCCATACCCAGACACATATCCAAGATTGCCACCATGAAAGACCGTCAACGATGTTTGCGGACGAGATCATCCAGGTGTTGATGTTGAAGGAGTCGGCTGCGCAGTATTAGCCTAAGTCTGTCGTTGCTTGGGAAAATGTTCGACGTACCGACCCAAAAGCCCACGAAATTCCAAGCACCCCATTGACGACGCTCCGGCTCGACAGGCTTCAAATCGTGGTTGAAGAGCATAAGCTGCGCTGTGGTGAGGTTGGGTTCGCTCTCCACGGCGAGCTTATCGGCCCAGTATGCGACCTTTGAGTTCTTGACTTTCTCCATGATCAGGCTGTAGGAGAAGAAACCTTCGTCGCTGGAATGATGTAGTGTCGAGGTTGCAACAGGCCTTATGAAGCTTTCGCTTCGGCTGCTCGAAGCCGCTGCTTGGTAGGATTCAAGATCCCCGCTCGGATGACGTGGGGTGCTGTCAGAAGCGAGTGAAGGTCTTGGTACGCCTGGTCTTGGTGAGGGTTGTTGGTGGAGGAGTGGCTGACGTTCAGGATCCACGATGGGTGGCGTCTGAGAGTAGTTGTGAGTTATGAAAGAGGTGATTAGATAGGCGCACTACTGCATGAGCGAATGTTGACGATGCTGAGGCTCCCATCTGGGGCACGCCCCATCTTAAATATCAGGAACGACTTCGCGCACCTCAAGATCTACCCTGGGTCCACTCCACGCCTAGGTGCTAAAGTGCCTCCGCATCGGAACGCTTCATGGTTGTGGTGGTTGACTGGTAGGCCCGTTCCGGTAGCCTTATCTTCGAGTTGCGATAGCCCACGCGGTGAGCTCCACCAAGATGCTCGCTGCAATTGCGCCACGAAAACTCCCGACGACCAGCCCCGTGTGATTCGCATCTGCACCCTGCATAGTCTCCGAGGATGAAGATGCAGACTTTGCAGAATTTGGGTTCTGGGCGTGTGAAGGATGGCAAGACAAGTGGGTGGATTTCCGCGGATGACGCAGCGCCATCGTAACAACGGTATCGCGTGCCCATCCAGGGTGTGTACAGATGTCTTGGGGACCATGCACGTCTGCACAGCTATCTCCGCGATAGGAGCCCTGCGGACAGAAATTTCGCTACTCTTTGACTCGATAGAAACATGTCACCACGTCCCTGGGCCCGGAGAAACTCTCTATCTTGCAGCATCCGACGCCATGATGGTTCGAGGTTGCGTCTCTGCGTTCGCTTGGGATGGTTAGCTGGGGTGCTATGGCAGGGAAGGGATAGCGGTTCTGCGGTAGGGAGATAAAGGCAATGTGGGGTATAACGGGGCGCCGCCCCAGCCACTCAGCGGCCGCCATGTCCAGTTTACTCGATGACATCGAGTAAACCGTCGGGCTGCTTATAACATACCTCAACCGCCAGCTTCCCTGCCTCAAGGCTCAGCTGTGAGCTTCGGCTTGCCAATCCCACTACCGTTGGCAACAACTTGCATGGTCATGCGCTTGTACATGCCTCTTGCGCGCTGAAGGCATCGCGCCAGCCTCGATTTTTCCCGGACTCGTATACCTCTTCGAGCTTTTCGATGGCTCGCATCAGCCTAGGTGGTTTCGGCGACGCCGTGCTGAGTGTGGGAGTCGCATGGTAGTACATTTTGCCCACGCCGAAATCGTTCTACATGCTTAGGAGTTTCGTATGGTACAAGCTACAGGCTGATCGCGTGCACTGGGAGTAGCGTGCAATGGGAGTAGGATGTACCAACCGATACTGTCCACAACAAAACGGAGGTATATGCTCAAGCAATACGTTAGAAGAGCCGACTATCGTTAATAGAAGGCACGTGGTCAAGTGGCAGTCGCTACCAACCTTAGAAGTTGATAACCCATAGCACCTTCCTAGGCGTGTCGAGCCCCGAGGTTTTCCCAAAGACCATCACGTGGCTGAAGAACAACACGATCCCACCCTTCAACCCCCTCGGACATTCGGACATCCAGCATCTCAGATCCCATCGAAATCTCCGCTGTTTCCAATCCCGAACAGAGGCCAAGATGTTCTATGCCTTGCGTGTTTACAACCACCATCTCACGATGAACGCGCAGATCGGAAACATTTGCCGAACAATGGCTGAAGTCGATACACCATGTCGAGATTGTTGCGCGTCCATCAAACATTATACGCCGGCTGGGGCTGTTTGTCTATCGGGCCGTTGAAAAATGCCCCAAATATGCAGCCTGGCTGGGTGAGGTTGTTTCGCACGTTGGCGTGTTTCAACGCCCGCTCGATGTAATCTCCCGTCCATAAGATCACAGTTCTAGACATGACGTTCACTGGAGCGTCCAAGATTGTTTCGCTTTAATGTACGAGTGGAGAGATCATAGCGTTTATTAGAAACGTATTGATTCGTGACTACCGTTCATTCTAGAGATGCCCATTCATACCCAATACCCAAAGTCGTGACGGTCATCCAAAACGCCGTGGAACAGAGCAAGCCACCCATTGCGGAACCAAAACAAAAGTCATTAACCCAAAGACTTCGTCCTTGTCTTCCCCTTCTAGTGGTAGCCGTTGCCGTGCTTCGGCTTCTTGTGCTTGTCCTCGAGCTTTGAACCAAGGATGGAGCCCGCTATGGCTCCAATAATGCCGTGACCGCCCATCTTGTTGCCTCCGAAGTAGCCAGCTGCACCGCCACCTAGAGCACCCATGAGGCCTCGGTCGCCTTCAGCCTGCATATTGGGGTCTGTGGCGCCGTATTGCTGTCCTTGCTGCGGCTGGCCGTACGCGTTGTGGCCCTGTGGGTACTGGTCTGCAGCGTATGCGCCCTGCTGAGGGAACTGTCCTGATGGTGCTTGACCAGGGTATTGGCCTTGTGGAGGGTATTGTTGTTGCTGGCCGTATCTGTGATCGAATTAGTACAGAGACAACTGCATTGTAAAGCATACTCTCTTACCCTTGCTGCTGCTGGTCGTATGGCGCTACTTGTTGGCCGTGCTGGAAGCCGCCGTGAGCAGGCGCACCATACTGCTGGTTATAGCCTTGCTGTTGGTAGCCCTGCTGTTGCTGGTCGTAGTAGCCCTGGCCTTGTTGCGGCGGGTAGCCTTGTTGCTGGTAGCCACCCTGTTGTCCGTAGCCTTGTTGAGGGTATTGGCCTTGAGGCGGGTATTGCTGGTAGCCCTGGTTGTATTGATCGTAAGGGCCGGACATGATGCGTGTGTGTGTTTGTAGGACAGGAAAGGTGAGTAGACGTTGGTGTTGCGCTGATGAGGGGTCGATTGAGGGGTGGTTGACGTAAGATTGGGGGCGAGTACGGAATACGGGGTACGGGTTGATGTGTGAATGAGGCAAGAGCGTCACAACAGGAACATCAGAGTCTTATATCTACTGCCACCAACTGCCGCAGCACCCATCAAGATCTGCTGACTACCAGATCCGATGACTGAACAATTCATCGCGTCTTTGGGGGCGGAGCTGCACTCAGCCTCAGCCACCCAGAGGTCAAGCTCGTCCGGCAGCCACGGCCAGTTCGGCGCAAGCGAACCGCCCGCGACTCAACGCCGCATCATCCGTCGTGCAATTCTTAGCGGTGCGCAATTCGAGCGCCGCGCACGTTGACGTAATGCGACTTGCCTTTTATTGTTTCCAATCGAGATGTACTGACCATCCTAGAGAGCGATCGCGGCAAGGCAGGCTTGGCTAGCCTCAGGAAACACTCTCTTCCGCAAGCCCACCAAACCTTCTTGCGAAACACTGTGTGCCTCTTGTCCACCCAAGAAATTGGCCTCGGCCGGATTCTCGCGAAAGCCTGGTCCCCAGCACCGCCGCATCGCGCTACCGGAAAAGGCACATTGTGGAGCCCAACAGCAATCCACGCCATCCGAGGCGCAGCAGTCTCTGCAGTCCGCGGACTAAGTGTGGCGTCGTCGTATGCAGGCTGTACGACATCGCGCATTTCGCCGAATCCCAGAGCATCTTGTAATATGCGGGGAATTATCAAAGGGATTAAGCTCTACTAAACCTCACATTGGGCTTTCGACATCCAATATCTGTACGTCGGTCGTCGGTCTCACGACTCAACCCCTGTGGCGTTTGATCGTCCCCGGAAACGGGAGCTGAAACCTGACCATGGCGCCCTGAGACGACTTTAAGACAGCCCCCCAAACCTTGCACGAGCATTTTGTTCTCGATCATGGCACATCTTACCCCATTGAGGGTAATTAAGCGCATTCAGGGCTATGGAATCTCGCCATTTGGATCACTGCCGGCATCGCAATTGCTGCTAAACGCTCCGTAATGATCATAGCGGCGCATCCACATCTTCGCGTCTCCCCAAACTGACATGGGACCAGCAGCGACTCACTGCTAGTGTCATTCATGCGCGCTCATATCCCACCCCTCCCGCTATTCGCATGAACGTGTCTCGTCTTGAGCGTTCGCCCAGCCTTTCGTTGCACCTTTGCTGACTTTGCTTTCCCTTCTGTCCTTCGTTCCGCAGGCCGGCTTGTTGCTAATCACTTACATACATTCGCTCATCACCCTTTCCTATCGACTACGCTGGTCGCGGTCCTACAGGCTTTCGACTCAAACACCACCTTCGATCACGACAACCTTACATCGCTGGACGAGTTTGCGGATTATGTCTGGTGGAGAAATCGAGACGCTGGAAGATTGAGAGGGGCTTTCCCTATTTGACGCCATCGCATACCGAACGCAATGCCCGCTCCATGGCGCCGTGGAGTTTACGACAAGGTGGATTATGTTGTAGTGGAAAGAGACGGTGTTGAGAACGAGATTGAGTTGGTGGAAGACGAGCCTACGCCCACGCTGAACCGACTATCACGAGCAAGACGTCAGGAGCCAAGCCCTACAGATGGAGACTACGACAGCGACTCTGACGACGATGACTACCCCGAGAACCCGACCATGACGCCTATGACAACACCTTCGCTTATGATACCGTCCGGAAGTGCAGCAGTAAGCAGCGTCGCGCCAAAATATGGACTTGGCTAACAAGCGCAGATGTTGGTCACAATGACTCTCAGTGGTCTGGAGCCAGAGGCTACGACACCTGCCTTGGCTGAGAGCGACCCCACGGAGACCATCGTGATTGCCATGCCACCGCCCAGACCCCATCATGACCGTCCCATCTCCCAGACGACTGAGCACCTGCTCATAGCTGCTGGTTCAATCGGTACGTTGAAGTCATGGTGCTTCTTGAAATGTATACTGACATACTCCAGGTGCGACTATCATCATTGTCATGGTCGTTCTCGCCATGTACACCATGAAGAAACGAGGTCTTACATTCAAGGACGTAATTCAGCAAGGCAAGCAGCAGCTCCGTCGCGGACCCCCACCTCCACCACCATCGAGATACGGTCAGGATAAGAAGCAGTTCGATGATGGATACGCGTATGGCATGAACGACTCTTTCCGCGCGCCTCAACCGACAGTCGCACCTGTACGATCTAGTTCGCTGTCTTCGCAGAAACGATTGCGAGACCTCGAGCGAAGCGACAGCTTCAACCAGCCTCCGACTCGGGATGGAAACATGAGCTTCTACGATGACACACCGTCGCGTGCAAACTCGCATCGTCGAAATGACAGTGCAACACCCTCATCACCGCTTTTGCCCATAGAGGGGCGACGGCAGAGTAACTCGACTCGCAACACCAGATCTTTGGATGGTGACGAAGAGTCGCTGCGATACCCTGAACCTCAGGAGCAGACTAGAAACCTGCCTCCTCCTCCATCTTTCCGTCAGTTCTTGTCGAACCGTCCTTCAATCTCTCAACGACCCGGTTTCGGCGGTGCATCCGCAGCAGCCGCAGCCGCCGGTGGTGGCATGGCCAGCAGATTCAGCTGGACAAACTCCCAAGCTCCTCAAACCCCGCATGACCCCTCTCGCGACACTGCTACCCAGCCTCTTGGCCGTGATAGCTTCATGACAACGCGATCTTCCGTTCCTCGTTTCCGCACTGTCGACTCCTGGGTGAACCAGCAATCCAACCGCGTCGAGGAACAAAAGCTCAAGCAACAGTTCCGCATGACACAGTCTACCACATACTCTGAAGACGAGGTTCCCGAGATGCCAGCTCTACCGTCCTCCGTTCCCAAGAACGCAAGCGGCATAACCAGGCAACCGAGTGCTGCGGGTCTAAGCCGCAATGGCAGCAAGAGCGGTCTAGTAGGAAGGGACATCAAGCACCAGAGACACGATACCCAGACGACGGCCCCAATCTTCAAGGCACACCCAGGCACGGAAGTGCGCTTCAGCACACGCAGCGCTGTTCCTTCTGAGATCTTGGATAGGGGACGGGATAATGTCGCCCTATGAGCACCACTGAGCCACTGTTGTCAACCACTTCGTGTCTAACCTGTACAATCAAGTCATATCTCCTTACCAGTACCCCGTCAGCGTCGTCACTTCTCCAGCATCAGCATGTTTTCTTGCATTTCCGAGCGCGGCATCATGGGGACTTGGGGGTTCGGGACAAAAACGGGATGGAAAACAAACAAACAAGCAGTTCACCACCGGAAACCAGGAACCATCCAACTATAACAGACTTCTTGTTTCCACCCAACTTTGTTCCCAGCCAAGTTCTTCTGCGCTATTCACCCATCTGTCTATCCTTTTGTACATTGCAACTTTGTCCGCCTTTTTAGCTTGAGCTATCGAAATATCCCGTAGAGTCATCTTCCTCTCGCCATCTACTTAGTAATAACCAACAAATTCGGGGTTTCTTCTTCATCTGAAGAACCCATTGCCATGTTTCGTTCCCGTGTCTGTGCTCGAGTGCATTCGTGTATGCGTGACGTAGCCCATCCCAACTAAATCCTCACCATCGTCACAAATAGCACGCTGACAGCATACCAGGCTCGTATATCACTGTACCAGGTCAAGAAGACACCCGTGCCCTTTCACTCCCACCTCCACCTCCCGAAAAATAAGCTCATAACCTCCGACTTGGCACGATCTCGCATTTACCAAGCCGACGACCAGGGTAGTGGTAGGGACGTCACGCCGATCAGATAACCGGTTTACCGATATGCCGAGGGTATTTGACTAGCTGAGACGCGTCTTGCTGACATGGAGGGCGTTAGCATGGAATAGCATGACGTCCAGTCGGTAGGTTGACAAAGCGGGACGCGTTTCAGGTGTGTCTGGGGTTCATGAGATCATTGCCGTGGAAAGCGGAAATGGAGTCCGCGGGCTGTTACTGCTGTGCGGACGACAAGGCCGCGGACGGGAAGGTTGGGCGGTTGCGTTGGGGTTGTGAGGAGAAGTGCGGGTGGCAGATGCATTTGACGGAAACCACGAGACTGGGAACAAGGGATAGATCTGTTCGGACATTATTCCGACAGTTTTGAGAGCGTCCTTAGGATTCGTACTTGTGTTTTGCTAGCCATACATACTTTTACTAAGCAAATAATGTCCAAGCCATCTCAAAAGATCATAACCCGATTGATCTTGACGCATAATCCCAATTGCTGTCCGGTCAGCTAACCCTGAATAACTCATAATCCGCCTCGAAATGCAAAAACGCCCAGAACAATGCAATAATTAGACAGAGGACACCGTTTAGCGCCCACGTCTAGCCACATCTTCCAAGAAGCCCAGCAGGAAACTCTTATCAACGGGACTCTTGCCTCCGCTTGCGCTTCCCGCTCTAGATTGACCGGCACCCAGCCCGGCTAGACTGACACCATCGTTCTGCTCTAGACTGATGCCCGCGTCGGCTGGGTGACTAATTGGCGGTATTACAATGCTAGGCGCTTTTCCGTCTCCGATGCTGCTGATGCGACTTCTGTTCGCCATTCCTTCTGGACTGGTTGCACTCACACTGCCGTTCGCTGGTAGTGGACTGACAGGGCTGACGAGGCCGGACATGGACGTCTTTGGAGTCGGCGGGAGAGGTGATCGGGCCGGTGGTATTGGGCTCTGCGTTTGGGGTTTCGGAGATGGAGATGGTTTGTTGCCGAAGAGCGAGAGCAATGCGTTCTTCTGCTCCGAGGGAACGGATTCGCGACGGTCCATGCCAGAAATGGGCGGAGGGACGGGTGAGCGAGACGGCAAGACTGCTGGTAGGGTCGGCGGAGGCTTCGGTGATGAGCCCTTGAACATGTCTAGCAAGCCTTGTGCATGCGGTGTCGTCTTCTCTCCTGTACCTAAACAGTTGTTAGTCTCATTTACAGGTCCCGTCATTCTGCCAGAAACAGGCAAGCACGGGGGGATGAACGTACCTGCTGGTCCTGGCGCTTTTGACTGTTGTTGAGGTCTCTTCAGAATCTGAGGCTGGAAAGCAATTCGCGGTGATCCAGAGACCTCGGCCGGTGGTGCAGGTTGAGGCGAAGCTTGCGGCGCACGTTTGAGTATCTGCTGAGGCATGAAAGGCATGTTCGTGGCTGGCGAGGGTCCGCGTGAACTGCTGTTCGTCGGCTGCCTGTTCTTCTTCATGGTGTCGAAGTCTGGCGCGTTCACTGGCCCACTCACAGTAGCGGACGTCATATTGGCCTTGCTAGACGGAGCATTGAAGACGGCAAGAAGAGCGGCATTGGGCTGTCTAGACGGGTTTGCGACAGGTTGCGCGGACACATAGCCGGGTGTTGTGGGGAGCGCAGACAGCTCTGCAGGTGCGGGATCCGGGCTTGCCAGTGGCGGGGTAGGCCGGAACAGATTCAACAATGAATCTTGATGAGCGTTTCTTGGCTTTGGTTGTTCGGGTTCGAAAGCCGAGCTGATGGGTGGTGATTGAAACTGCGGCGGACTCGGAGCGAATTGTGCTTGTGGCGATACGAGCCCATGCGGTCTATGTTGAGGTAGCGGATGCTGTATCCTGGGCGTTGTTTGCGAGCTTCGGTGCAATGGAGCGGCGATTGTGGTCTGAGGCGACGGTGGGAAAGTGGGTTGCTGATTCTCGTTCTTGAATGAATTCAGCAATCCGAGTGCATGCGCATTCAGATTTGGTGCGGGCAAATTGGACGCCGATGGTATCGCTGGCCTTCCGTTCCCGCCTGCGAACTGTGAATCCCCCATCTCCTGGAATTGGGGCCGCAGATTGTGCTGATCAAACGCTTGCTGCATGTTTGGAGGCTGAGGTGGAAACATGGACTGCTGCTGCTGCGGCTGTGGTTGTTGGTGCATGAAATGAGGCGACATGTGTGGCGGTGGTGGTTGCATTCCGTTCATGTGACCTGGATGCCCTCGGAAAGGCATACCTTGGTGTGGTGAGAAGAAGGGCGGTGGAGGCCCCATGTTGCCCATCTGCGGTGGTCGTGGACCATGCTGGCCATGGGGACTTGACGGCTGCATGGGTGGGGGCATCATCTGCTCAAAGGGCGTTCGAGGTTGTTGGTTTCCTGCATGCTGGTTGTTGCCCTGCTTGAATAGAGCCAAGAGTGGGTTTCCTTGGGGTGGTGGTTGGCTGGGGGCCTCCACCGGCGGTGACTGCATGCCCACACTAAGGAGACGCTTGAGTGCCTCCGCTGGGTCTTGACTCTGTTGCGGTGCCTGATGCTCGTTTGATAACTCTGGTAATGAGTCGCTCGGGCGGTGTCCGCGACCTAACCGGGCCACCATCTCCGCAAAGTTGTCGGCCACCTGGGCGTCGGCGACGGGCGCTGCCTGATTGACCGTAGTCTCGTAGAGTGTGTTCTGAATGTCTTCGTCATCAGTCCCTGCCACAGGTGCCGGAGCAACGTGCGCACTGTTCCGTTGCCTCTGCCTCCCAAGCCTGTGCTGCTGCTTTATCCATTGCCTCAGAGGTCCCAAGAACGGCGCGACCATGTAGAAGTTGCTCTCCTTGATCAGGTCATTTCCGTTTCCCTGTTGTTGCTGCACCTGGTTCTTCCGCCTCAGAGTAGGCAGATCCGTGAGCTTGTACCAGTCGATCTTGGAGATTTCCTTCCTGGTCCGCGGCTCGAAGTATGTGTCCATGGGCACGCCGCGGAAGACGTACAGCATCATACTCTGTTCGCGCATCGTGACGGTGATCTTCTTCATGTGCTCGTCGGGCTCGACCAAATCAGCCTCGCGCAGATCGTAGCCGGTCTCCTCCCAGACTTCGCGCACGGCGCAGTCGAGATCCGTCTCTTCCTTGTTGATCTTTCCGCGCGGGAAACTCCATTTGGCGCCCTTCTTCCAGCCCTTGACCAGCACGGCGTGTGTCATGTCCTCGTTGAGCATGATGGCGCCGCGCACCGGGACGCGGGTCTTGTAGGCGAGGAACTGCTCGTAGGCCTGCTGGTGCAGCTCCTCCGAGTAGGCGGAGAAGAGCGGGCAGTGCTGGAACATGAGCTGGGAGAACTTGCGCAGGTGCATCGAGGGCAGGTTGTTGGGGTCGAGCGGACGGATGAAGTCTTCGTAGAACCACTGGGCTTCCTCGATCTGGAAGCATATTCGCTCCACCGACTGGAGTTCTTCATTGGGCAGGTTGACGATGAAGCGCACGCAGAGGTCGTCCAGCCAGTCAACTAGTGATCTGTTTGTGTTTGTCATGGTGGGTGTGTGTCTGGCCCGTGTCGAGCATGCCGCGTTGAGCTTGCGTCGCAGAGAGTGGTGGGGAGCGCTCGGGCGCCAGTCAGCCAGCTATCGCGCGTCGCGGGCGGCGGGCAGTAGCGAGAGGGTCTGGATGAGTGAGAGGTTGTTTGCTGCGAGGCTGCACAGCCGCAAAGAATGGCGAAGAATGTGGGGGGAGCGGGTGGACGTGTTGTTGATGTGTTGTCAAAGGCCTATCGGAGAGTTGGGCTGTGGCTGTCGGCAGGCGCGATCGACATAAGTGTGGCGGCTGTGGCTGTGCGCGCAGGCGAAAGAAGGAGCGGCCGACCCAGGCCATGACGTTCCTGTCTGGGATCGCGTCACAGAATCAGGGCACCTGGACCTGGGCAGCTACAGCGACTCACCGCCAGCGCACCTCGATGCGATAAGTAGGCCCGTCGTCTTCGCTCTGCCGCTGCTTCTTGTTCTTCACAGCTCAATCATACTTTGTTCGTTGCCAGTCGCCCGCCAGCTATACATAGGGCAGCGACGCGCCCGTTTCACATTTTCCCAGGAGAAGCGCCGCTGGCCAACCACACAACACGCGCGCTTTGAGACAGCCGCACCACCGCGCACTGTAAAGCGACACCGTTCGAACAACAGGAACTTATAAGGCCTCGTGGACGGTCTCATATAGCTGTATTCATACAACTCCCCTTACATCACGAACTACCTCAGCAACACCACCCAACATGGCAGGCATGGTCGCTAAGTACGCCATGAAGAAGGCGTTGGGCAAGGAGATGGAAAAGTACAAGTCCAAGGACGTCTCTGGTCCCTACGTAAGTGAATCTTCTATCATTTCGACGTGCGCAAACTCATTGTACCCCAGGACCCCTACTACGCACTGCAGCCAGACCCAAAGAGGCCCCACAAGATGAAGAAAGTCAAGAAGGACATCCCCAGCTACATTCCCGAGAATGATTGCGTTGTCTTAGCCAAAGCCCGCAAGTCCGCATACAGGCTCGACTACGCTCTCTTTACCTTTATGGGAATCCGATTTGGCTGGTCTTCTGTCATTGGCCTCGCCCCAGCCGTGGGTGACGCCGCAGGTTCCGCCTTGGCCTTGAACCTGGTTCGCAACATGTGCAAAGTGGAAGGCGGACTGCCAGCCAGCGTTCTTATCATGATGCTGTTCAATGTCGCCTTTGACTTCCTCATCGGTCTTGTTCCCTTCATCGGCGATCTTGCCGACGCGGCTGTCAAAGCCAACGGCAAGAACGTGCGCCTTCTCGAAGAGCATCTCGACAAGCTCTATAAGCCCAAGGAGCTCGCAGACAGAGATTCCAAGCTCCCCAGAGAACGACGACCGCGCCCTGCTTCTGTCTACGTCGACTTTGACGATGAGATTGATGAGCGACGCAACACCTTTGAGAATGACCATGACGATGTTCGCCACCCTCAACGTTCCTACGGTGGAGGGCGTGTTCACGACGAAGAAATGGGTGGACGGTACGACAACCAACCCCAAAGATCGCGCCGGGACGACAGGCCTAGTCGCAACAACACTAGGAGCAGCAGACGTTGATGAGTATTTCCTTATGTCTCCTTTCATAGCGTCGTTTCCTATTACAGCATGCCAGTCCTGTTGCTAGACCACTGCTGCATTTCATGCATTGTGCATTGCGCATTTGGCGTTGGTGGTTGCTCGTACTCTCTTTAAAACTATACCCTAAGTGCTCTTGCATGTACACAACAATATTATGTATACTCTTTGTAATATCTCCGATGTAAGACCCGGATTCCAATCCTCTTTTCGTTTGTTTATCAGGCTCTATCACGTTCACGTGTGGACCCAGGACGCTTCGTCCCTGCAACAGCGTGTGCCTGGATCTGATGGGCACCAATGGAATCATTCCTTCATGTTGTACCCGCAATTATACTACCTAATAAACGACCACGACTATTTGCTAGTCGAACGTCTGTGTGCTTCCTTCTATCCGTATTCACACAAACTTCTCGTGTGAGCGTCTGGCATATGCTCACCCATATAAATTCTAGTGATTTTCACTCTGTTTCCATGCTTATTGCGTTCGCGTTCAACCCCCAGCAGCAATTGTAGTATACCTTGCTTCAAAGCCCTCAGAATACCGCAGCACGACGGTATCTCTTCCCATCATGAAGCTCCTCATCACCTTGTCGCTCGCCCTCAGCGCCATTGCCGCTGCCGTCGTTGCACCTCGGCAGCCCACGTCGCCATCCCACATCGTCGCCCTCGGCGTTGACAATTCCTATATACCCCTCTACTCAGACGCCGACCCAGTCCCCACTGTCACGACCTCAGAATCCACTGCAACTACTGAAGACAACTACCAAAACGCCCGCGACAAAATCCCCTTAGTAACCGAGCACGTCACACCCACGTACAAACTGATATGAGACACTTGCTAACTTCGCCCCTTTCCTCACAGAACCTCGCGCCCCGGCGACCCCGAACCCATCGTCATCCTCCCCTTCTACTTCCAGGTCATTGAGAACTGTCTCCCGGACAACAGCATCCAAGCCCGCGGTGTATACAAGAATATGGATTACGTGTGGGCCTACACTCTAGCCAAGGGCCGTACTGTCCAGGTTGACCACGGCATCGGGGGATACCCTTTTACGTTCCTGATCGAACCGTTCGATTACAAAAATAGTATCCTACACTTCACGTACGACAACGGCGATGATTTCCACTGCGATTGGAACGACAGCGAGTCGTGGAAGAGGTGTGGCGAGTGCAGGACGGGTTTGTGGAGTGCGCCGAAGCTTGATTGTAATGGAGGCGGAGAGAAGACTAGGGTAAGTGGTTCTCTTTTTTTTTTTTGGATGTGCCGCGTCTTAGAAGTCGATTTTGCTAATTGTGGCGTGATTGTAGAAAAAGATTATGAATTGCTCGTTCATTATGGGGTGGAGAAGTAAGCTTACGGGCCATCCCATCGCTCCTCCTGAGGGCGCATCCTGATTCCATCATTCTTTCGAACCGGGCAGAGAGCATGGCAGCTGGGTTCTGAACATTGAACGAGGGGCCGCGGCAGAGGTTGGCTAGAGCACTTCGTCACATGTGATGGTACGAAGGTGACGGAAGGGACCAAAAACAATCAGTGACATGAGAAACCACGCTTCATTCATGACACTGGACTCCAACAAACAAGTATCGAATTACAACATGATTATTAGCCAAGGGTATCAAACTATTCTGTTTACCCAAAAAATGGAGAGAGTCATAAGTGAACATGCCACCTCGTTACCCAAGTACCCGACCCAGGTCAGACGCCGATACCCAATGCTTGACATTACTAATGCATTACCTCCACACTCTCACGTCCGCAGCCTTTAATCGACGATGACGCCCTTAGCGCCAAACCTCTTATGGCCATAGTCATTCTCATCTTCGTCACCGTCCCAGTGGACAGCCTTGCGCGCAGGCTTGTGAATGCGCACGCACCATAGGAAGTAGTCCTCTAGTGGTAGCAAATTCAAGAGCACCCTGTTGCCAGTCCATGCCAGTCCACAGACCATGGCACCCGCCACGGCATCGAGGATGAAGTGGTTCGCGGTAGCAACAATGGCGACCAGGATGATAGCAGGGTATGCGACACCCAAGAAGATGCAGAGCATGCGGCGGGCCGACGGGAGACGCATGCGCAGACCCATGGTGAGAGCAACGGTGCGGGATCGGTTGTGCTGAGGAGCAAGAGGAATCGACATGATGGTTAGGCCGATGAGGAGCGAGTACCCGAAATGCAGGGAAGGCATGGCAGCGTATTGGTTGCAGAATTTGTTTTGCGTCCATACGCTGCTTTCGCCCTCGGCGCCGTGAACAGTATCGACGAAACCGTAGCTACGCGCCTCTTTGCCTACGGAGCCGGGAACCTCGGGGTCGGAGAGCAGACGCGGCGGCATGCATGGCCAGAGGGTGAAAACGATGAATGCAATCAGATTGCAAGTGGCCATCGTTCTGCGCCTGGCAGCATACAGCATTGGTCCTGCAGGGCTGCCATCCGCCTCGCCCATTGGCTTGTTGTGGAGGGGAAGATCGATTCGGTTGCGCGTCGTAGTGTAGTAGAAAAGCCATACCAGGAACAGGATTGTGCCTGGAATGTGGATGAAGGAGTATGTGCGGTTCGTCCAGTGGAGAAGGAAGGGGTGCTTCAGGAACCACGCTTGAACGTCGAGTTCAAGGAAGATGTGTAGTTTCTGTTCGAGGTGGATGATTTGGAGGGCGTGGCGGCGAGCGACGTTAACGGTGCCTTCGACCATGGTTACTGCGGAGAATGCGCGACCTAGTTGGTACACCTGAAGAAAGTCAGCATCTCTGCAGAGAAGATGTATAGTACTCGCGCGTTTGCTTACCCAGTAGATAAGCGCCCAATACCAGGCCTCCACAAGGAAGGGAAACTTCTTCAGCAGCCGACTGAGGAAGTAATCCTGGAACCTCTTGGTATTCGGGCTCATGACCTCCTTCTTCATACCCAGGACTACCACCTCTCGTTTCCTCCATTTGGGTTCCTCGTCGACATTGGCGAGAAGCGACGCGCTCGACGACGGACTAGATCGACCGGAATCTGGAGAACTTGACCGCGGCGAGTTTTGGTATACTCTCCGCCGACCAATAAGGCGGTATTCGGTGTTTCGGTTTACCCATGTACCTCCGAAGAGCAGGGTAACTACCACAAGTGGTTCTATGAAGGCTCCAGCGCCCATGGTGGGGGACTACGCGCGAGGCGGCGATGTATAGGTGGTATGGGCGGTCGCGCGATGTTTGAGCAATAGTATGCTTCCCGGGGATTCAACTCCAATACGATAACCCAGAGGAACTGAGTATATTTGTAGGGATGGCGGTAGTGTTTGGCTAGCCGGTCGATCCGGGAATCTATGCGCAGAGGTCCTGACGCAGCGCTGTATCGTACCTTCTGCTCTGACTTGAAGGGTAGAAGTGAGGAACTCGTGGGTGTTTCAAGAATAAAAATGTTAGCTATGACAAGCCCAGAAGTCTTCGCATCAAGGAACAGGCAAGAAGACTGGCCGATGCCGAGGACTACATCCTACACTAAAGGCAGGGCGCATGGCGCGTAGTGAAGTCAGCGGAACGCACGGCATGCGCAGAGTGACTAAACAGCCACAGCAGCCACGGACAGGGCAGCGGACGTTCGGACGAAGCTGCGCTGCCATGGCATTTGGTGCGGCGTGGCCCTGCTGGGTGCAGAAGGAGCCGGCCTTCCGATGTGACTGCTTGCTTAGTGTCGCGTGCTCGCACATCATTTGCTGCCAGTTGCGTCATTGACATTTCAGAGTTTTGACAGCAATGCTCGGTCCCAGATACTTATCGCGCCCGCGGACGGTAAGAATGCGTCGACCAGCAAAACTTCGTCCAAGTTGTAATGCGCGCATCATGGGCGACGATTGACACCTTCGCGCGGCGGAGTCCTGTTGGTTGCGGAATATCGTGGTCGGTCTCACATGAACACGCGACTGTCGTCCATAGGCTTAGCTTCCGCCCAGTACCGGCGCTAAGCCGCTTTCGTAGATGCGCATAATCTTCGATTTCGATCAAGATAATCTCCCGTAGTGGGTACGGAGTCTCGCGTCTTGCCGGTGCCGATACGCTTACGCGCGAGTACGAGGTACGAGAATGCATTGGCACTCATCGTTTCTGGACTGCACTATCTTCACCGCAGCTGTGTGGTGTGTAGTCCACGGTCTCGACGAATCATCCACACCTGGGCATCCTGCCGCCTCCATCTGCCCCCGGATGCTCCGTATACTGTTGAAACAGTTTCTTGTATAGCGTTCACGTATAGAACTCTACCGCCATTATGCTGCACGGTCTCCGCAGCACGTCGTTCTCCCAAGGTTCTCACAAACCATAGCAGCGAATTACACCCGAGCAATGCCTAGGTATGCTTGCGACTCACTTGCGTCAGCATTGATCAGGAGTTTGCGGAAGCCATATTGGAGAGCATGAGCGCATGAACAGACCCGCGCAGAGAACCTAGGCAGCCAACACCCTTCGTAAAAGGGATCATCTTTACATATCAAAGAGAACGGGAGAACACAGCCTAATCAGGCCACAGGTCCGGAGAGCCTACATGACCTTTCAAGTCTGAAGCAAATCATTCGAAGCTCAACAGAGATGCATTGTCCCGATCTCGGCTTCTACTACTCTACATTCCTCCTTTCCCCAGATCCAATCTACCGGAAAAAGAGCGGCTCAGCAAAACTACGATCCCCACCCATCCGCGTCCTCATCTCTTCGTCTCGCCATCATCTAATCGCAGTAGTAGCCGAAGCTAAGGTAATCCTCAAACCCACCCCCATTCGACCAGCAAACCGCAGCACCAGTGTCGAACCTAATAGGGCTGCCATTGGGCGACGACTGGTTGGGGCCGGTGTAAAGCGTGAGATGGCATCCTGCAGACGTAACTATCATACTGATAGACCCGCGAGGTCCTTGGAAGATCTTAGAACGTGTAATCACTGCTTGAGTGTTGGGTCTTTACCTGGGAAGTTTCCCTTCACCGGTGCAGGATTGAGATCGTACGTCTCCTCGAAACCTGCGCAGCCAGGGTGGTCGAAGGAGGTGAAGCGGATTCGGCCGTTTGCGGCTGCGAGGGGGATGAGAGGGAGGAGGGCGTAGAGGAACTGCATTGTGCGTGTTGATTCTTGTCTGAAGAGGACCAAAGGGATCTGTAGAGTTTGATGCTGGATGTTTTGCAGGAAGAGAGATGATGTTTTATACTGATCCGCGTAGATGTTGTGATCCACGGGATTCTGCTTGCAGTGCAGAACCATGCATTAGCAATACGGCATCATCTCACGATTACCTTGTTCGTGCAAGCAGAAAGTATTGACACGGTTCGAAGACTCATGTGGTGTAACCACTCAAAATCGCCGAAGTAGTTCGTATTGTGCAATCGGCATGTGACAGTGGTCCAAATACGAATGCTCTCATCTTGCAATTAGCTCTGGTTAGTCGAAGTCTGCATATCTGAGGCTGAAGATATTGGTTACTCATCGCTGGATGCCTTCTTTGAGCCAGATCAGTCGTACAAGTAATGAGTACAGGAGCTGCAAATAATGCGCTCTCTTTGTCAGCTTCCTAGCTCGTTGTAGCGTGGACCTGACAGATTAATCACGGCATTAGCATTTACTGCTCCTGTCCTTGTGTTATACAAGCCGCACGAACTTGGGAACATCGTGCATTAGCATACCGTACTGAAATGCATGTAAGCAAGCGGCGCACCCCACAGACCTTGACCACCCCACTGGTCTAAACCCACAATGGCTCAACGCAACGCTAGACGTCGAACATATGAAATCAGATGTAACGTTCTGATATTACTGAATTTAATGAGAGCCGGACTGGAGTGTAGTCCGTCTTAACGACCACTCTGAGACGAACAATGGCCTACCAGAGACGCCCGAGTACCATGCAATGCATGGCGAACATGATGTACAGCGAATGTATCGGCTGCGATACGCAATGAAGCGACAAGTCTTTCCAATTTGCAACAATGCCAAACACAAAAGGAGACCAGCGTTAGCTGTGGGTAGGAGACGCATGGTTACAATAATCCCAAGTTTCCTTGACGCCTCGCTGAACAGAACAAAACAGTAAGGGAAGGTATAGTGGTAACAGTATATGGACAGGCCAAATTGGCGGACAAAGGAAATGTGTGTAGTCATCAACGGCGATAACTGGTGGCGCTGATGGGACTCTCAGCACGCGACGCTGTTGAACGGTGCGGTCTCTTGGAGGTCCTCGACAAGGTCATCCACGTTGGGGAGGTACCGTCCC